CCATGGCGATGCATCCTATCACACAATACTAGCAGGACTTTTCATGAAAACCTTTCACCGAACATTCTATACAGCACCGTTGTGTATGTTCTATGATTCATCCCAACTCCGTTACAGGCCAGCGACAAATAAGCGTATCTCCAATGACCCGCCATGTCGGCAGATTCACTGATGTGCTATTTTAGACAGCAGAAAATGCTAAGCAGAACTTGGCAATGCATTTGGTTTCACGGCTCCGTTTTGATCCTCGTTGCAATGCGGCTAACCTGGGTCCAGTTTCAATGCTCTGCAACCTTGCAAGTCATGGGTGGCGGTCGTATCATGTGTTAGTATTAGGCTGACTTCTCTGACCTTGACGTCATTGACCACATCCCCCCAGTGTATGTCGTTCGTAGTGAGGACAGGCACGGACGTTGCGAAGAAAGTCGGCAAGGTTATTCGGTAAAGGTGAGGCTCCCACATCACCCAGGCCGAGCACTAGTAGGATTAGGATTAGATAGGATTTCCTGGAAGCGAACGAAGAGGTGGGAAGTGGCCGACAACTCTCCCTGGCAGTGCGAACCGGGGGCGGGAGCTTGGGTAGGCGGATCGATGCAATGGACGGCTGGGACACAGTCACCACACAATGTCGACGCTGTCCCACCGTCTGCCCGGCCGGCGAAGAAGTTAGCGTTAGTTCAGCTGGGGTTGCCAACAGCCTGTCGACGGCATGAATGCGACCAGACGTTCCTTCCTCCTGTTTTCTGAGAGCCGCACTGGCCTTGAATAGACGGGGAGAGGACGAGAGCGGTGGGGCAGCCTGCCGGCTCTCCCCGGTGGCGGGAGCGGTAGGGCAGACCACCGGCCCTCCCCAGTGTCGAGAGCGGTAGAGCAGACTGCCGGCCCTTCCCAGTCTCGAGAGCGGTGTTGCAAACTGCAGAGCCTCCCCAGTGCCGAGAGCGGTGGGGCAGCCTGCTGACACTGCCCAGCGTCGAGAGCGGTGGGGCAACCTGCCGGCCCACCACTCTCCAGTGTCGAGAGTGGTGGGCCAGCCTGCCGCCCCTCTCCCCCCCCCCCCCCCCAGTGCCGCCGGCGTCGGGGGCGAGCGGCCACCTCACGCCGGAGTCACCGAGTCCCCCGCCCCACAGCCAACGCCCCACTGCACGGCCACGGCTCGTCTGCTGACCTGAGGTCGACCACGCCAATCCCATCTGCCACAGATACTTGAGTACGAGGGCACAGCATGAACATGTTCTGGGGCGCTTTGTTGTCGGCATTTACTCTGAGTAAAGGTGCCACTGTTAAGTCAGCGGTCAGTGAATGCGGTGCATGGAAACATTTTGAGAACTCATGAATACGTATGTGACCTCTAGACCGCCCCTTCGTGCGCCCCTGTCAGCGATCCGTTGATGGGTCTGCATGGCTCCACCTCCGCCCTCGTGCCTGCTCATGTATCATCATCTGTTCTCCTCGTGGGGCGGGAGCTCTTCCCGCCGGCTGACGGCATCGCGGCACGGTCGCGGCAGCCAGCACGAGGTAGGGGTGCTCGTGTGGACTGTCGGACCCACGCACGGATCACCAGACATGCCGTCCGGTCAGCCTCGTGCCTGCGCACGGTGAGTTAGAGCGACTCCAATGAAAAGGTGGCTTCAGTGCCCGATCCCACTGGCCCAGCAGGTAACAACGGCGTCCTCCAAACCTGCCCGTGGCGGGTTGGCCGGCTGGGCTGAAGTCGCTTCGGCGATCGATGTCTGCCACTGGCTGGGATGGCTCGCGGTCAGTGACAGCGGCTGCTCAAGATCAGATGAGGCCAGTGGGCGGGGCGCGCTGTGCCGAGCACTGCGGCTCGTCAAACTTTCGCCACAAAATTCTGCCACTGAACTGGAATTTCACGATCGGGTGGTGGCTACGAGCCCCGCATCAGGCCTCGCTTAGCGCTGCTTTGGGTCCTAGACATAGATCCAATGGGAATGTTGGGGCTAAATGAAACAAAACGGAACATGAAAACGTGATGAGAGCACAAATTAGTTTCAATCTTTGAAATCGATTGATTTCTGGGATCAAAGATGCTGGGATTTGCGATCTGTTATTTGTATCAGAAAAATTCACGGTCAGATGCAGAAGCTTGCCACGGAAGGTAAAGACTTCGCAATGCAGGCTTCACAGTCGCTCCTCGTTTGTTCCGCAAGCCGCAATCGACACTGATGCACGCCTTGCACGCTGACGTCACCGGACCCTTAGCGCGGCCATTTGCGTCGCCGCCGGTCGCAGGCCATCGCATTCAGATGCAAACGGCAAGCGCTTGAAACGACTGGAACTCAACGCACCACGGTTGGTTAAATTTATTAAAAAAAACGCGCTCTCGCTAACTGGGGCTTACCACGTCTAAGACTGCCAACATATTTTACCATGGGGCATACCACAAGCTTATCTCGCAAATGCTTTGCGGCCGTTCGTTGTACATTTGAATGCGGCGCAAGGAATGTCCAAATTGTGAATTTCACGAGTCAGCAGTCTCAGTTCTTATGCTGAAAATGACTGATCTTCCATGTACGAGGTATATTATTCGTACCCATCATGAAAATTATTGACGTTTCTAGCGGCGCTAATGGTTACGAGTCAGCAGTCATGAGTCACAAGTCATGCATAATGCTTGGAGTCAGGAGCTAAAGACGCTTCTTCCCTCTATTACGCAAAAATCAGTTTCTCGGTGATAGAGAAATAAGTCTTTGGAATGTAATTTAATGTCCGCTTGCGGGATAATTTTCTCAGCCTGTTAGTCTGCCTATTCTGACCGTTTTTTCCGAACACGTCTCTCAACAGCTAACGGTATGCAGCACGGAATTGGCCGCTCGCCGTTCTCGGTTTCCGAGGCAGAGCGTTTCTTTGCCAGTTTCCAGGCCCTGTTGGGCTGATGATCCTACTGATGGTACTGCTAATGATTCAGGACGCGCGTCCCCGAGAGGGGCGGACGGGTCCCCGGGCCCCGCCAGTGCCAGGAGCGCCACGAGTCGCGCCCCCGGGGTCACCGCCGGCGGCTCGCCATGGCCCGCCAACCCATCAGGCTGGATGCACATGAAATAAATGGCATCGCCGCCCCCGATTAGCCGTAGGCATCGAATCAGTCACGCATTCATTTAACCAGCCAATACATCTACGAGTGGCTTTGTGATGGTGGCTCTCAACGTGTCCGCCGTGATAACCACAACTTATGCAAATGGTGCCAATGAGGGTCGAAATGGGTCGGAAAGGAGGACAAGGAACAGGGGTGAAACATGAAGGCATAGTGTCAAGTATGTGAGGAGCAAGGAGATCAGGGGTTTGCGCCGATAATGACACTGTGTGCCGACTACCAGCATAACGCAACAGCAGTGGCAAGTTACATGCACCTCCATCTCGGAAGTCGCCAATTTAACTTGTACGTGACATCCGAACCTTTTGCTTGCTATTGCTCTCGTTAACTGAAGATAAATGTTTTTGAGCTAAGATCAACATACTTAGTGGATTGTGTGTACACAGCTGGCAATTATTAGCAACGCTATATTAATGCCTTCAGCTTTTTACACATCATGCAAACTTTTTAACCTTACACCACACCTAACTAAATCAGGCAGGCTTAGACATCCGCAAAAACGTAGCTCAAATGTATTACAAAAGGCATTCGCTGGCTCTGGATTGTTATCCTCATCGCGGGCAAATCTATGCCACGTCATGTCAATACTGGCGTGGGAAAGTGGAGAGCGCGTGATTTTAGCTAAATTACATCGTGACATTTATTTCATATTCAACTTTATTCAAGCAAGAAGACTTGACAACCGCTAGGTTTCGTCATCATAATTATGCGGAGGGGAGGTGCATGGTTATACAGTTTGCTAAACATCCATTCAGGAGCCGCACGGTCCCAACGCAAACCTGGCTCATCCCGACAAGGATTCAGGATCACGTGACGACTGATGGCAGGCCATCGCTACACTATAGGCGCCACATTTCCGTATTTCATCTCTGAGCTAAACTTGCCGCCACGGGCGCTGACGAGAAGTCCCCACCATGACCAAGAACTTGTCATTGAATTATGCCAAACCCAATCAATGCGAGTGCAGAAGTTTGTGCCCAGCCGGCCGACACACCCAAACTGGGCGTTCGCTAGAAGCTAATGAGACTATAATGTCATCGGGGAGCGAGCGAGCGCGACGAGCCGCTCATTAGGCCCAAGGACGTGCCCTGTAGACGCTGTGTCTTTAGATAACCATCAGCGCAGGCCGCTGGCGCCAGGCCGGTGTCGGGCAAGTGTGCGAGTGTGACACTGAAAGGATGTGTGTTCAATGACGGAGAGAAGAGAAGAGAAGAGAGAGAGAGAGAGAGAGAGAGAGAGAGAGAGAGAGAGAGAAAAAAAAAACTTTGCCGATACTACATCGCTAAACCAAGATATGATACAATTCAGCGCTATTATTAGACTTCGTAGGTGATCTACATCCATCTCTATACCATGTCTGTTTCCAGACGCTTCTGAAACGTTTGCCAAAATGCTCGTGGATCGTCGCGTCCGTTTAGACCTTATCGTGATCCAGTGCGACCCTGTAATGCTTGGAACGCCCACTGAAGCGGCTGCTCCTATTTAGTGTCTTTGTTAACCAGAATGATGAACATTGGCTTGTCCGGATACTGAAATGCCGTCATGAAGATAAGCCGGCATTCACAATTTCAGGCGTAGATGTGCGAGGTTACCAGGTTTCAAGCAGCGTTGGACCGAGTGGCTTCATATTTTACCGTTGCGTGGATTCCTACATCATGAGGGCACCATACCTATAACATTAAAATATCATATTTTTCACATCAATATAAATTCTCCAGAGCGTAAAACGTGCCAGTTTTTCCATCGAGACTATGTCGCAACCAACGCAATATGTGCATGCATTTCTCGAAATGGGCTGCGAAGATGAACACATTACGGCGCAAGAAGCGGCTCTCAAATTATTTCGTACGTTAATGTTATTGAAGCGAACAAAACACATCAAGCTTACCTATCGTGGTGATGATGGTGAGCGAGTAGAGAAATGACCCAAAGAAACCCCACTGCTCTCTCCCAGGCTGCGTGTGGTTTTTCCTGGATGCCTGGATAAGTTCAGATTGGAACTTCTTTAGCTCATTGGACATCAGGTGGGTCCAGTTTTCTTTGTGAAGCACGTTCAGGGCCACGGTGATATTCCATAGTTTTTCCACTGTGTTCAGTCGCGACCGCCGCACAGTTTTGTGCACTGAGCGTATCTCTTCCTCAACACGCGTCCTCTGCGAGGCTTCATGGCCTCCCTCCACGTGCGTGAAGATGAAGGCGCCCATTACGATGTAGCCCAGATGATGAGGCAGATGCCGAAGTTAGAGCAGATGGTGCCCCACACTTTCTGGCAGCAGCCTGCGCAGCGACGAGGACGGCGCGGCTGCCGCACTGCCACTTCTTCGAACGGTGACATCTACCGGCGACTTCGGCGCTCAAGCCACCGAGGACTGCGACAGAGGTGTACACACTAGGCTCGATTTGTCGGTGTAAAATAACCGGATATTCCTGGCAGCTGGCCTCTGAAACAAGAGCACATGTTGCGATGCTCGAACCCTCCACCGATCCATCGGGCAACGTCGGGAAGTGAAAAACTGATACCGTCCGGTCACGGAGCTCTAACGTCATCAGTGAAAGCTTGCAAACCTGCTTTGGCCTTTGTTGTCCGGGATTCAAGTGTTTTTATTTTTATGGCGTGCTGTCTCATATTGGTCCGACTGCGTGGCAGACACGGATGGTCATGCACACGGGCCGACAACAGGTCGCTTGCAGGTCTTATTGCAGACTCACTTATCTATGTCGTACCAAAAGGATTTGCGCCGCGCACTGGGGGTAAGGGGCAATTAAGCTGGTATACCCACCCGAACACCATGCACCGCGCGTGACGAGCAAGGCGGCAATAACTGTGAGAATAGCCAGCTGGTAGTAAATGATGTTCATAACTGGGCCAGTGGAGTCAGGTGTTTTTGGGAATCCATACCGTTGGGAATGACCAATGTGCTGAAAAGTACATTTCAAGAATACTCAACAGGTGGAGGCATGCAGATGTGGTACTTGCCTGATTGAAAAGAGGACGCCATAATAGTGTTCTACGAGTCTGGCTAGGGTCAGCAATGTTAACGCAAGAAATCACTTAACGGGCTATCATTTACACTTTCAGCAGTTGTGATCGAAGCAGTTCCTTATATATATATATATATATATATATATATATATATATATATATATATATATATATATATACAACCCCCCCCCCCTCTCTCTCTCTCTCTCTCTCTCTCCTTCTCTCTCTCTCTCTCTTCTCTCTCTCTCTCTCCTCTCTCTTCTCCTCTACCAATCCTCCTCTCCTCTCTCCTCATCCTCTCTCTCTCTCTCGGTTTGTGCCGTACGGTCTTGTGTTTCAGGTTGGTTCCGTATGCCATTTTCCCGTGAATTTGTGATAAACTTGTCAATTTCAAGATATACTAGTGAGCTGCACCTGATACATTCGGCCACACTGTCCAGTTGCGTTGAGGCCCTACATCTCTCTGGTTGTAGTAACCAGGGCCTAGTTTCACGAAACGGATTTACGAATCTACGAACCCGCGAAATTACAAAAGGTAAAAGTACAAAGCGTTGAAAAGTAAGTTTTACAGAAGTTTGTAGTTTCATTGATTGGTATGTCGTAATTTCGTCGGATGGCGTATATTTTTCAGTGGTGACTCGGCTATGCTTAATTTGGGAACTATGGGAAACTGTGCGATGCAATTCATATTGACTTGTAATGTCGGAAATTAATCGTGTATTATCAGTGAAATGGTTGCAAAAAGTCGAATAGCGAGGAAAATAACAACAATCCCTTTAACTAAGCGTACAGAGAGCAAACAATGCACGATGTTTACTTGCATAACAACGCAATAATTGCGGTACATGCCGCGCTTTCATCAGTGTCTGTAAAGTTAAGGCAGTTAAAAAATATGCGTGCCTCATCATCTTAAGTCTCAAAAAATTAAGGTAAAAACAAAAGTAAACAAAAGGCAAAAATAAAAGTTAAAAACAGCCCATTGACATACGTTACTAGTGTTCATATGGTTTTGAGCAGCAATTAAAAGCTAAAGATTGGTTTTGTGTACCAGAAAATGTCAAGATTTCGACAAAAAAGTACAAAGCAATACGCTGCTCCCTGGCCCTCAGCTGCCAAGCTCGGGTTCAGTGTCAATGAGTGTCTTGATCGTCATGGAGCGAGGCATTTTGGTTTGGGGTTTTTCGGCCGCACTGCAGGCTTTTGACCACTTCAAGTGATTGGATATGGCTATGGTCGTAACGTCGTAAAAACGCCTTACATAGTTCGATCTCCCTGAAGGCTGCTAGGGTCCGGACCCCAGTAGAGTGAGAGTTGAAACAGTTTCTTCCGGAAGACCCTTTCACAGCCTCCAGTCGTGGCCGCGTACGTGGATATTGGCTGGGTGGAGGCTGATGTGAAAGCCTGCGTGTATGCATGTGTAGGGGAAGAATAGATGAGCTCCTTTACCATGTTCAACCGGTCTAAATCCACCCCAGATTTCTCCATGATGCAGCTGCCAGGCGCGCAGAATGTCGTCAAAAAGCCGCCGGCAGTGTTTCCCCCTCCTATGGTTCGGAAGAGACCACAGGGCTGATTACCAACGGCCCGATTATAGGGTTTGGAAGGCTTTCCGGAGGTTTTATGAATACCCGTCGGCCCGGCTTGCAGCTCCGGCCCCTCGTATGCCAGTCAGCGGGCCGCGCGCGCCGATTGGGGTCCGCTGGGACAGAGAAGGCCTCAATATCGGTCGGAAATCACCAAAACAGAACATTCGGCTCCGTTTCGGTCCGGCTCCATGAGGCAAGGTTGGGGACTGCGAATGCCACTGAAGGACGTTTGCATTAGCCGGAGAGAGATGGGAGGGCTGAAAATTTAATGGCCCTTGTGTCTGTTAGGAGGCGAGAGTGCTTAACAGTAGGTCCTATGTGCGCAAGAAGCCCTACGTCAGCCAGGGTCATATTTACAAAACAGGGACAGCAACAGAACCGAGAATGTCAGAGGCCTCTGTGTTGTGTCTCAGAGGTCTCTTGTGTTAGTCGGTTAGTCCGACAATGAAAGGGGATAAGAGCAATGTCAATCCACCTTCTTCCAGTTTCAGCCGGGGGCCCAATACGTCGAACTGGGTCCCGTGCCAAGCTTTCTCTTCTTAAAAAGTCATCTATGCTTTTCAGTAAATAGAGTCAGGCGTCACCTTTCCTATGCAATTGGGGGCGTGGACTTCTTGCGAGGAATGTGGGCTGAATCCGAAAAGGAACCTATTCGTTGGTAAATTGTGGGGTAAGGTGGGGGCATTTTGCATTGTTCAGCCCCCTTCCCTTCCCAGATAATTTTGCCAAAATACGCCGCTGAACAGACTAGCAGGCCTGCTTTACTGTTGATGCATATTATAATCGTGTCCATTGGCAGGTCAATTTCCACGACTGAGAATGCACTTCGGGCAGCTAGGGGGGGAAGGGGGAATGTAACATTTGCTTCGAACTCCCGATAGTGTGCACCAAGTTCCTACAACATTGCCCGGTAACTTTTGCAAACATCTTGGCCCAACGAGATCATACCCCTGTCCCCCACCTCTGGCTACGTCCCTGATGCGGCATGCTCGCTAGGAACTATCCCATTGCAGGGCCTCTGAAATAAAAAAAAAACTACCAGGATGAGCTCCTGGATCTGTTCTGAACTCTGATTGCCGGACTACAAACCATACGATTGCTGCAATAAAAAGTTAACGGCCATTTGCAGCTTACGTTGTGGTGATCTGACCACTTCTGGGATGAAAATCAGTGTAGTCATTTGACCGCAACAACGGTACATTAATAAGCTGATGCAAGATGGTTGTTATTTGAATCGGTCACTGCAGCATTCTAAATTGGAGCATGCTTGAAGAAAATCAAGACATTAACGTAGTACATCTAACAGTGGTTCATAAATTGCTGTTTTTAGATTTAATCACAAGGCCACTACGATTTCTCGAGATTCATCCCCTGAATTCATCCCAGGTCGGGGGCTGACCATCAAGAGACAGTTGGTGCGATTTCGCAGATGTTGGGTGGCGAGTGATATCTCTTATTTCATTTGCTAGCTTGTAAAAAAACAACCGAGGGTTCCTAATGTGAACCTAGGCTTCAAAACGTTGTCGCTAATGTGGATTTCTCCCTCGCTGCCTCTGTTTGGAATCAGCGTTGGTACGGCGCGCTGTTCCTGTTCACTGTAGGATATCTTGATATGCATGGGTCTTGCTGTTATCTTGATATGCATGGGTCTTGCTGTTAATTTTCAGTGTGCGGAGCCCTGTATTCAGCCCATAAGCAAGTCAAAGCTATCCTGTAGTTACGTTGCTGACACCAGCCCAGGGAACCGCAGTCATGACGGTAAGCTGTCAATGATGGCCTTAGCCTGGCCTCTGCTCGCCGCATTGATGCGTATCAGATTGCTTTGCCACTTTTTACAAGTTTCTGGGCTGGGCTCATATACAGATGTGCAGTAGATCTTGTGAATATTTGTTTTGTATCTCCTTGCTAAGTACATGTTGCGTACCTCTGATGATGCATACCTCTGGTGGATAATGGTAGGTATGTCGCATATTTTTATAAGTGGTACCTTGTGAAAATAGTCTGCTAAGCCAATATACTCTGAACCGATTATGGCCTGCCTGAGTCCATCATCTGAGCTGAACCTCATCAATAACACTGCCGCTTTGTGTTGTTCACGATGCAAGGAGCTTCGTTGTTTTCCAAGCACCTCATTTCGTTGTCATGTTAATTTATTCGTTGCAATACTATCTTCATGACGCAACTCTTCATTGATTCGTTGAATTAGTCCACATATTGCCGCAGAAAATCTCCGTGGTGTCAATGCTATCAGCTCGTTGCATGATGTTTTCTTGAAGCCTACTTAAACGAGTCTACTCAGAATGTGACATAACTTTGTTGCTGCGCTTTCAGAAAGCTGCTTGAAACTAGGCCCTGGCATCAGATATTGAAAATGACCCAAAATGGACGGATCTATGGTTTGGTCACAAAAGCACTGGCATGTTCGCATACACGGACCGGCACTTAGCCTGGCACTACTATCCGTTTTCTTTGCCATTTATATATATATATATATATATATATATATACCTATATATATATATATATATATATATATATATATATACGTTTTGAGAGATTGAAAGAACAAACGGATCCATACAGGCCAGACCAAATTCTTGTCCGTCTTGTTTGCTTGCACTTGTTTGCTTATTTGCAGGGAATTAGTGATTTTTATAAAGATCTCAAGAGAGCATGCCGTATCGAGCAATGAATAAACCTATTGATAGGGGGATTGTGCAGTGTTAGGGCTATGTTAGAAGTCGCAAAACCGATTCATTTATGCTTGCCACTTTGTTCGTCTCTACATTTACGGCCTCACCCTTTACCCAACGTAGGCTTTTTCTACCTTCACCCTACGAGGCCCACACTCAGGTTTCCCCTGCTAAGATCC